TCCCAGTTCTTCAGAATTAAGACTCAATTCATTAATGTGCTCGCTATGTGAACATCTCTACATGAAATGAAACGCAACACATGTCTAGTTCATAGCATTAATATTATAAAATACACAAATGATTGTCACGAGGTACATGTATGTTAGCGTCCGACCACAGCTGTGATAAGAGGAACGCCTAATTCACCTCGTGTTGCGGGTTATTTGGCATCCTTCCCAATATAATATCGAAACAAGCTAGCTGGTGAGTTGATGGCTCTTGTACATAAATACATACCAGACACAAAAGATGTTTTACGATATCAATAGTATACATATTTCAAAACATTCTTTCCATTGCGACTGAAATCCAGGTCATTCTAATCAACCTTCGATCAGTATGACAGTGTATACATAATAAACAAAGACGCCTAAAATCAATTTCAAAATTATTTAATAAACCTGTTTAACAAACCGAAATCCCTGAAATGCTATTCGTAGTGCGCATCTTGCTTGGCACAACGTGGAACCATTTGACCATACAACAGTGAACAGAGGTCAAAAAACACTTGGCATATTCAAACCCAGTAACAATGAAACCACGATTGTTTACACACAAAACACAGTGGCTGGCTATCAAAGTGTAAACCAAAGTCACAAGACTATTTTGAAGCTTCATAATACAGCTGTCAGTGGACAGTGCCAGTCATTAATCATGACTTCGTACTTACAGCGTCAGTTTAATAATATTAATAATGTCAAATATTTGACTACAGCGCCCTCTAGCACTTGTTGGAAATCATCTATATTTGGAATGCTCTGATTGGATAGAAGTTTAAGCCAAGCAAGAATTGATAGAATTGGACGGATTCAAATAAGCATGGACATCTAATTTGACAGGGAGGGATATTTATAATGCAGTAAGCTGTTCTAACTGCTGTTGTGATAGAGTTGTTGTCAAATGCAGTTGTTGGTCCACTGAAAAATCAAAATGATGTTTCCTTGTAACTTAGACTTTTATTGATCAAGGCATTTTCCAAATTATGGGTGTTAACTTCCCTCAAATAATGACCTGTGTCCCCCCATTAAGTAATGTGTTTTTTTTTGTTTTTATTTCAATGCTTTTGACTTTTCCAATATGTTTCTGGCTATTTGCATATATGCTTTGCATATTGTGTTCTTGTGGGTTTGTGATGTAAGCCGTATAACTCTTCGGGGCACTACAGCTGGTCGACCACAATTCAGTCCTTTGCAATGCTATGTGGCTGGTGTGGCATATTGAAGGTGGGTTTAACCCACCCCACCAAATCAGCATAGAAGTGACGCAATTGTCACATTTGGTGTTCAAAATATATATACGTATATTTCTTTGCTTGAATCAAATTCACTGGCTTTGTACCTACAGGTATACCTGTTTACCTATTTCTAGTGGAAATTTAGCCAATCTTATTACCCAAGGCAGTTGGACATTTGCCACATGTAACAACACTCATTTCAAAGTGCCACACCTTAGAACAGATAGTCAAATATGATATTGGCTGGAGCTTCTGTTGATATTGAAATGGTCCTAGTGAAAAGCAAACTGGGTGGTCAAACATGTCAACAGTTATAAAAACAAGCACCGACCAATTCCGCCCCACCCACTATAAATTAAATGGTTATTTATAAGACCATTTTTGTTGGTTTCGTGTTCCTTTTGGATAACAATTTTAATTTTAAAACTTCTATGCATATATGCTTCTCCGTACAAAATCGTGGGGATCTCTCATACTCAGATGTCAATTACTAGTATACTAAGAATAGTGTACTTCATTTTTATCAAAATTACTGATTACAACAAACTCTTACTACAATTGTGTGTGTTTTTTTTCTCAACAGGCTTTCGGACCATGAGCACCACCCATTTTTCACAAATGGAGAACGTACTGATGACTGCAAATAAATTGTTATTTTTCTATTTCTGTAGCTTATAAGTTATAAGATATATTGATAATAACTTTAGTACACAACCAAAGCCATAAGGTTTAGTGTGGCTAATTACAAATAACAAAAAACTAAAACAATTAAAATAGCTAAATAAAAGTAAAAAATTAATATGACAAAATAGAAAAACAAAATAGAGGTAAAGTATAAAATACTGAAACTGACATTGCATAGAAAAGACATTGGTTCTCTCATGGGTTAGATGTGTATTTATATAATTAAGTATTCCATTGAATAATGTATTTTTGCAAAATTTAGAGAGGGCAAGGTTGTGCTTCAATATTTTAAGAAAAACATCTACATTTTGCTTTCCTGTGTTTTTATTAGTATTATTACACACTAGAAATAAAGATCGTCTTTCAATTTCAAAACATGTACATTCCAGAATGAAATGCATCACATCCTCTATCACGCCATTAGTACATTTCTTACACTTTCTATCCTCAAGTTGGATTTTGGATTTTTTTGAATAACTTGTACGTTCTTAGCTTAGTTCCTTTCTCATTTTTACCACTTGATTTATTTAGTTGATCTTTCCAGAATAAAGAATACTTAATACATAGTTTTGATTTTATTGAATCTGATAATTGTTTTCTGTTATTTAATTTAGGGTTGTCAGACTTTAAATCCTGCAGTTCACACTGTTTTAAACATTTTTTGTACAAGAGATAATTATGTCATTGATTCAATTAATGCTGACTTAAGGATGTGGTTACTTAACAGCATGTGTAGTCTATACCAATATTGCATTTGTAAAATACAACTTTTAATGTCTAATCCCCCCTTAATACATATAGTTAGAGTTACCTTATTTACTCCAACTATTAACCGGTAAATCTGACTGCACACATGTTAAAGATTATTAATATGAAATTCCATGTGCCCAATACGCTCCGCACCACAGAATTGATGAGATTAATTGATCAAACAATTTCAGACATAACTTAGGGGTGATGCAACACGGTTAGTCTAATAGTGAACAGGCTTTGAATGCTTTTGTTTTAGCATTTGTTGATCTAGTTTAAATTTTCCGTTTGGTGTAAAAATTACACCAAGGTAACAGAACTCACTCTTATAATGTAATCCCGTGAACAAATATACGTAGAAATGCTTGTTTCACCACAAAGAAATGGTAAAAATGTATATTCTGCAACGCATTCTGGGAAATACTGTGGTCTCTGCTGTCAATCATTTTCGGTACATGTTTTTCCAAAAACATCATTGTCTCCCATCCAACTCCCAAATGCACAAACACCACAACAACATGAATATATATGAAGTACAGTATTCCCTTCACATTTCTGTCAATATAGTACTATGATATTAATAGTTTTGATTTTGAGATGTTTTTGAATCAAATGTTTTTACCTTTTGTCTATTCGAACTGGGTTGTTTATGTTTGAACAATCTAAGGTGACAAATCACTAAATAGTCGGCTTCATTTACTCATCAAATTTTTGTTTTTGGGTACCAGTATAAAGAATAAAAATGCAACGATACAGAATAATTTGCGGCTTGTGTATATTGAATAAAAATTGCACTGAGTTTGTTTATGTTTAGTATTAATGTAGCTTGCAATCAAACAAACCAGGGCATAGTCTAGTCTGTTTTTTACCCATCAAAATTGTTGTGTTTGTCTTGTAATTCGGAATAGATAAATCGAATTCACTTAAATTACCCCGCTTCAATAACTATGAATATATCCCATTGTTTATAGGTATGCTAATTTTTGTGTTGGTTCAAAAAGTATGCTGCTATAAGGATTAAAATTAAACAGGAAGTAGTCTTCCTGCTGCCAAGCTTCAAATGATGACATCACATATTTAAAGTATGTTTTATCGGTACTGTCTATCTTTACCAGTCGTTATACCACATCGT